AGTTCCTCCTTTGGGCCCTGGTACTTCTCCAGCTTCTCATGCCCCTTTTTCTGATGTTGCTGTCACTTGGCACTGCTACATCTATCACTACCACAGCTGTCTTCTGGTCCTTGTCTACTACAATGGCAAGGCTATGTATTATCATATGAATAATATACTGGAATATTTATCTAGGGAAAAGAGCATTTGGCTCTTTGTAAGGTCAAGAACACACTGGGTTCACACATCCCTCTAAACCATTATTTAGTAAATAAACTGCAACTGAGTTGGCTTACAGATCTTAACTGCATTTATGCAATCTGCTAAGCTAGAAAGAAGGAATTATGTCTTAGTGCTAAGTATGATTTCAAATATACGTTGTACCTAAGATAAGTATGCACAATATTCCTGACAATACACAGCTGTCTTATACCATGTCAAAGACTACCTTAACATTATAGTATGTATTTTTATTTAGTATGCATTTTTATCCAAGTGCAGTACAACCTATTTTCCCCCACAACAATTCTAGGGGTTTGGGTTGAGATAAAGTGACTCAACCAAGACCATCCAGTGAATTTCCATGGCTGAAAATGGATTAGAACCTGGGTTTCCTCCCTGCCAGTCCAACACCTTAACCATTATATAATACTGGATCTCTCACTGCTTACTATGTACTCTGATAGCAGCTGTATAGTATTTGAAATAGCTCTTTCATATCACCTAACTTCTTAAGAGGAGATACCAACGTTTGATAAAGGAGCATTTCAATGCAAAGCTGATATTTTATCATTATCAACTCTCCTTCCCGAACTCCCTTCGGCTTAGAGCAGGGACAGATCACCTAGGGCTCCTCCAGAGGAGCTCCTATTAACCCCATTCAGCATTCTCAATAGCAAGAGACTGTTGCAGCTGAAATTTATAACAACTGGAGGCACCAGAATGCTTATTTTAAAACAAACTGGTTACTCTCATTAATCTAAATCTATCTTTTTCAACCCAGTGCCTTCTAGATATGTTAGATACACCTCCTACCATTGCTGGTCAAGTTATAGTTCAACACAGATGGAGCACATCAGGTCACAAGAAGTGGTCTAAAGCTTCAGCTTTTCTAATAGTTACTTAGACTCAAAAGTTTGTGTTCCCAACATATCATCTTCCATTGCATTTTATGTGTCCCTTATTTTTTATTGAGGTTCTCAAAGTGGAGCAATTAAACCTGCCAAACCAGAAATAATCTGCATAGGTAGAGAATTGCTCCTACTGCCAAAGTGACACAAAGGAGCTGGCATATATTTGAAGCATGTTAATAACTGCTCTTTCTTCTCCCCTTGATTTTCTTTTGCAAACCACTTTTTGAGATGTTTTCCAGAGTTCTGGAAACCAAGAAACATCTGCTATAAAAATACCTTTGAAAAGTGATTTAGAATGGTAAACCACCTAGTCCTTTCCCTTCCTAAGTCACTTTCCTATCAGCTTCATCATGATTTGGCAGAGGATTCAATTCTAATATTTTAATCTCCATTCATTATGTCTAGCTTGGCCCATATGTGTTTCATTGAAAAGGCATATATGAAGGCAACTATTTTTTTAACATAGCTATGCAGATATGCAACTGACTGGGAGTGTGGAATTTATTCTGAAAGTTAAGGATAACGTCTCTTATGGGGATAGAAAAATATTTTTCTTTTAATGTTCACATTTGGATATTAAACTTAAAGAGAGTTTTTCTGGTATGATTTTTTTTTTCATATTTAAATCCCAAAGCTAGCATTTTTATTAGGATAGACCTCAAGGTTCCAGGTTTTAAATTTCACTTAGTTAACTTAGGCCTAGTTCAATCTGCCCCAACCTGATTGTGCTGACTGGAGAAGATGAGAGAGGTGGTCCAATTAAATTCTTTTTACACAGGAGAGCCATAAGAATATATTCCTGTCTCTACAGAGGCCTTGTTCACAAAACCTGTTAAGCCATAGTGGTTGGCTTTTTTGTGGCTTAGCATATTGTGTGAAACTAACCAATCTTAAGTTGTAAACCCTCTGCCAACTGTGTTTTGTTCAATTAAACATGCCTTGGTTTATTACAGTGTGTGAACTTAGTCACAGTCTATCAAGGCATCCATATGTAAGCTTCAATATGTTTACTGGATCATATGCCTCATTCTCCCTTTTTACTTCTTTTTAAGAAAGCATAGAGAACAAATGTGCCCCTGTCTCATGTGGGTAGAGTACAGGGAGTGAAAGCAACTTTTACACACCCTAAATTTAAGAACAGTATATGAATCAAGTCTTACAATGCAGCCCTAGTGCCTACTTACAAGTAAGTCCCACTGAATAAGGAGATACAAGACTGCAGCCTTATTTTTCAGACTGCATCAGCTCAGGTCCCAAAACTGGATATTCAGCTCAAAATATATATACTAAAAAAGAGATCTTCTGTAAAAAAGAAAAAAATGCGTACTGTAAATAGATAGGCTCCAGAGTCCACTACTACATTTTTGCCATCTTCTTGCTGATGTGAAAGCTATTAGAGTACTTGCTCCTGAAGCATATAGAGGCTATCATTAGTAGGCATTTCCCAAAGACGTCCCTCAAGAAAGGAGCCCAATGCCCATGAAGCCCTCTTCTCCAAGTCCTCCATCTTCTTGTTGCTTGCTGACTTGGCCAATAATAGCAGCAATGAGAGAATATGGAGCAGAATCCCCCCAAAGTAACCCATCAGAAGCACTTGGCTACAGTCCCCATCATCTATGGTCAGCTCTACCATTGGCCTAGGTGGTTGCGAATGGCAGAAGCTATACTCCAACACAAACTGAGGCACTGGACAATGCTTCTTCAGAGCCTCTTATTCAAATAAAAGTTGAAATGAATTGCACCTAGATCTATTAGACAGATCACCATGATATGCCAGAGTATATATTCCTTCACTTCTGCAACAACAAAAGAATCTCCTTGGTATTATGATCTATGTTTCTTGAGCAATGACTACAGAAATAAAGATCATGTTGCAATGAGCAAATCACTTGAATTTGGGAAAGGGATGTGATATTCTCATGGCTTTTACAGCATAAAGGTCAGAGGTTACAGAGCAACAAGCCACAATGTTCGTATCATTTGTCTCTTAAATCCTCCAGAACAAGCCATGTAATCTCAAGGCAGCTATCTGCTGCTCCTTGCAAGGAAGATGGATTTTGACTTCAAGTCCTACGTCCTGCTGACCCACCCACACAAATGGGCATTTTAAACCGTCAGGAGCTGCGCAAAGAATTTGACATCCTAACAACTGGTCTCCCAAACGCCCCCACAAGTTTGCAGATTCCCAGTGGAGAACTCTGGCAAGAGCCTGCAGATCGCTTTCATGCAGGCTTCAAGAAATAAGCTGAAAAATTCCTAGCCTGACTCAGTGAAGTATTTGTCTCTGCTCAGCTCTCCAAGCCCCAACACACGCGCACGCGCACACACATGCACATACACATACAGAGAGTGAGTTTGGCAGTCCTTGCGTTCCAGGGCTGGTAATACAAGCCCCGGAGCAAGCTGCCAAGACAAGCAACAGAATGAGCCAGGCCCCATTTCATTGGCCACCATAAGTTGCATATGGCCCTGGAACCAGCCAAGTGAGTGTTCTCACCCACCTTGAGGGCATAGGAGACCCTGTGTTTTCAAATACACCTCCGCAGGGCCTTCGTTAAAAGAAAATAGAAACATAATGTGGCTCTTGCTTGCTCTTTTTTCTCTCTCTCTTGGTATTTCTCTTTCCTCTCAATTTCATCTCCAATCTACTCCCAAATCATTAAGGGCAGGGACTGGGGAAGAGAGAAAAGGGCCTTCTGGAAGGAAATGCAGAAAACCAGCTATAGCTCCATTTCATGCTTGATTGCTAAAGTGGACTTACGACTGCCTCTGTTGCCTAGTTTCCTTTCTTTTACAGGTTTCGGAGAGCTGGAAGAAGGAGGAACTTTTGTGAAATGGCACACGTGCCACATCCACCTTCCAGAATGAAACAGCTCAGGTGGAAGCAAGGTTTGCTCACGCCAAACTCAGAAAGGCTACTAGCCTGCACTACCACATTGTGCAAACCAAGGAAGTGAACAAGCAGACTGCCAAAAAGCACCATTATTCCATCACTCTCATTGCCAGTCTAAACAGAAAGAGAGAAACCCTCAGTCCTAGTCAGTAACCAGACACTCTGCAAAGGGATTAAGACAGCATTCTCTGCATTTGTGGATCTGGAGCCTACAGGGCTGTATACTCAGCAAAACTGTCCTGTGGGAAAAAAAACACAGAACAACAACAAAAAAAAGGTCACTAGTTTTCCAGAAAGTCACACTGTTTTTCAAGAAAGCATTCAGTTTGAAACAGTAGGCAAAAGATATGCAAATAAAGCAACACACTGAAAATATGTGTCCCAGGAAGATGCTCTCTTCAACCCTTCGTGCTCTCTTTTCAATTGGTAAAATAAAATCTGTGTGCCCTTCTTAACATGCCAGAAAAGGTGTGGCTAAACTAACAGGCATGCCCAAACCAAAGCTATGGAACTTGCAAGCTTGAAATCACTCTTCCTAGCTCCTCCAGGCAAGGCCTAGCCCAGATTAAATAACACTGTTGCATCCGCAACATTCAGCCAGTTACACTGTCATAACTAAACAAACGGGGATGGCCAGGTCCTGAAGCAGAAAACACATTCAGGCACGTGTTACCCTAGACCGGTGTTTCTCAACCGTGGCAGCTTTCGGATGTGTGGACTTCAACTCCCAGAATTCCCCAGCCAGCAAGGCTGGCTAGGGAATTCTGGGAGTTGAAGTTCTCACATCCAAAAGCTGCCAAGGTTGAGAAACACTGCCCTAAACACATGGATGGATGGGGAAACATATCCTTTGGATGAACAGAAGAATACTTATGGCTGAAGCAGACAACAGATACACACAGGAACATTAACAAGACAATCACAATCGAGAAAGGGGGGGTAGTTAGTACAGAAGGCCCTGAGCTTACAGCAATTCTGTACAACACATAAGCAAACTGCAACTTTTATTTGCTATCTACTGGGAACACTCTGCTGCTCTTTCTCATACCTCTTTGGGGACACAAAAGACTTGCTGCCATTTTCCTACCTGGCAAAGCCAGCCAGCCCGTCCTGCTGCAAAGCCCACCTTTCTCAGGAACTCTTTCCCTGATACAAAATACTAAAAACATAACAGCCTTCTTGTCCTGTTTTCCTGGACTCCAGAGAAATGGAGGGGGGTTGGGGGAGGAGTGCACTAAGCCCAAATAGATGGCTAAAGAAAGAAAGAAGAGATTAGCTAAATGATAGGACGTGCAAGAAGACAGAGAAAGAAAAGCGGGCAGTGAAATAAAATGTCCCATGATGATGCAGGAAAAATAATGTCCCTCTTTGGGACTGTTTATAGTGAAAAATAAAATGAAAATGTTATAAGTAAATAAAATGGTTGTAAAAGAAAATACAAAGTTAAACTGTAACAAAACTCTTTTCCTATGAGTATTGCATCACTGCCACATTAGTAATTTACAGCATTCCTAAACGTGATAGCTGGATAGCGTACTTGCGTACCTGCATTAAAGGGTCACCTCTGACCTGAGGTATGTTGCACACGCACCCATTTCCTCCTCCTTACAGTTTAACCTAATCTAGCTACCGATATCAGTGCCTTGTTGCTGATGCCAAGAATCCTGCCTTGATGCAATTCGTGAGATTAGGAAAAGAAATTTAATTCAATCTTTTTCCGGCCCAGATTCTGAGCTATTTAGGAAGTTGAGAATACCGGATAGTGCCTGAAGAAACGAGGGAGAAAGCTTTCCGGATATCCTGATACCCCATAATTAATTTACATTCCGCATCGATCAATCCAACATAAATACAACACCGGAGCTTTCTCTTGCATCACGAACTATCAGAACATTTTACAATTTCCCGCTCACTATAAAAATGTACTGGAATTTTGGCACTCGGGGGGGGGGGGAGCCCACTATTTAGCTACGCTGCGTGTCAGCAAGGCAGGGTAGTTAAAGGGTCCTAAGCAGCAGTTACCGGGGGGCGGGGGAGAGACGCGGCAGTTTCGACCCTAGGGAATGCGCCAACGGCCCAGGGCTAGCAGCCCCCAGAGCGGCTTGGGCTCCACAAGCGTTGCTCCTCGGAAAAGAGCAGGCCCGAGCAGAGACGCCGAAGTCAGATCCGACGATCGCAGCCTCGGCAGGCGGACCAGGAAGAAAGCACGCGCAGGGCTCCCTCGGTACCCAACCCGCCCTTCCGCCGCTCGCAATCCGTTTCTGTACCCACCGGAGGGACGGGAAAGGTGCCCCCGGGGCCCGGCTGCAGCGGGAGGCGAGGTGCACGCTCAGGTCCTCCAGCGCCGCCGCCGCCGCTGCCCAGCTCCGGGAGCGGCTCTCGGCTTCTCTCCCCAGGCCCGTCGTGCCGAGCTCAGCCTGGTCCCGGGACCGATCCCTGCGGCCGCGGGCACGCCTGGGTAGCAGCAGCCCCGCCTTCGCCGCAAGTCAGCTTCGCCCCTCGCGCAGGCTGTGTCGGACGGCTGGGTGGGTTGC